TGCTGGCCCTGTAGGCGGGCGCCCTGGGTGCCCTTGTGCCCTGTGACCCAGCCTTGTCCTGCAGGCCAGGACTGGCCCAGGTGGGGTCCAGGCGGGGTTCTTTCTCCCCAGCATTTGGAGGAAAACTGTGATCCGACCTCCAAGGCTCCTTGCCCGGGAGGGTCAGCTGCATCCCTCCGTTCACATCTGCATGAAGCTGGGAGGGCAGGCCCTTGTCTCTCCATCCGTCCTTCACGTGGACGGAGCGGCTTTCTCTCCTGGGAGCCACCCCTCCCTGTGTTCAGGCCGTGACCCACGACTTGGGGGGAGGCTTCAGCTGAGCATCCGGCCTCCCAGTGAGATGCAGTAGCTTATCGGAAGCCTCAGAGACAAGCTCTCAGGTGCCGAGGGCCGCGCTGCTTTAAAATCGCCACTTGGAGGAAGTGAGGGAGAAACCAGACAGAGTTTCTCCTGCTTCTGGGAGCCATGGGCGGTTCGCGCCTGGGGTGCGGGCCCTCCCAGTGCTGGGGTGCCACGAGCACCAGCCCGTGCGGGGTGCAGGCTGCACGAGTCCCCTCCCTTCCCGACTCTTCTGTGGCCGTCTGAATACAGTATTTGGTTTCATGAATTTTAATCCAGGTTTTAGTGAATGGTTTAACCACCTGCACATTTATTAGCTGAACGCAGAGCTGTTCAGAGCCGGCCGGCACCCTTTTCGGAGAACGGACCCTGCCTGCCTGGCTTCCAGCTCTCTCTGGGCCTCGGCATGGGCCCCGGGTCGCTGCTTCTGGGCACCTGGGCTCCTCCTGGGCTGCCCTGTGGCGCATCTGGGGCTTGCGGGGAGGCTCCCCTCTGTCCCCGTGGCTCCCGCGCTCCCCTCCCCCAGATGCTGGGAAACGGATGCTGGCGTTTGCAGCATAGGACACAGCACACAGCACGAAACCGGGGAGAACCTCGCGTCTGGCCCCGGCGGGGGCAGGGCAGTACCAGCGGGGCTCTGGGGGGGCTGGGGAAGGACTCTGCGGTCCTGCGGGGGGTGCCCTGCCGGGACCTCTCGGCTGCACATCTGGGCTCGCGGAGCGGGAGGCCAGCAGCTTCCCCTGTCGGAGGCTTTTTGTCTTTTCCCAATTCTGTGAAGCTACATTTAAACTTCTCCCTGTAATTAGCGAGGAAAGCTCTCTGGCGGGCCTCAGAGGCCAGAGGCCACGTTTTAAGCCCCTTGTCAGATAGTGGTGGTTAAGGCCGTCCAGTCCTTTGGGTGGCTTTTCCCTTTATCTGGACAAGCCTGCAGCCGTGCCGGGCATGAATCCTGCCTCTGCTGCTGCTGAGCTGTGCGCAGAGATGCCCAGGCAAAGGTGCCAGCTGGGGGAGCTAGGGTTGTGCAGCCCCTCTGAGTGCCCCAGAAAGGAGAGTCTGTGTTGCAGGCACGTGGGGGGATCTCACCCCGCTCCCCACCATCCACAGCTTCCTTTTCTTTTGGAAATATGCTTCCAACTCTGCCCCCTTGAAGAAACACTGCAGGCTTTCCCATCGACCAAGAAGGGGGTGGCCTGGCCACGTGCAGGCACCAGGGGGCACGCCTGTCCCACCCCCAGAATGTCTGCCCTGCTCCCTCACACCCTTGTGGGCCCTGCTGATGCCAGCCCCGACCTGAGAGATGCCACGATTGGGCTGAGGAGGCCTTTGTGCAGGGACCCCCTGGGCTTCTGGTGTGGACAGCCGGGTCGCCTGCCTGTCCCTGTTCGTGGACGACAAACATATTCCTTGTATGTTAGGCGTCAGGTACTTGTCTTTTACTTTGCAACATAAATTTAAAAGTTCTCAGTGGATTAGTATCCTGAACTTGAAAAGAATGTGAAAAGATGGTCATTTGACAGAAAATGAGTCAAAGGCATTTCAACACAAAACGAAACAAAAAGTGATTACACGCACACATGACAGATATTCAGCCTCACCAATAATGTACTTTTCAAATGAAAGCAGTAGTTTTGGTCACCAGCTTAGCAGAGTTTGTAAACATTGATGGAGACCTTCCTGGAAGGTCCGTGGTCCCAGAGCCCAGGATGGAGGACGCCCTCCCACCAAGCAGGCCACCTCGGGGACTGTCCTGAGGACACCAGGGCTAGGGACACTCCCGGTGGTGGGCGTGGGGGAGGACTTGCTGTCCGCGTGTTGGAAGGTATGAGTCCTGCGGTTGTGGTCACTCAGACCTCAGGTGCTGTTTGGCCTTTACTTACTTGGGAAGTGGTCCATGGCCTCATGTTAAAGGAAGAAGCTGACTGTGTATCAGGTTGAATAATGTAACCCCACTTTTATTTAAAAACATGTGTCTTTATTTTATTCTATATCCATATATCTTTAGAGAAAAAAAACTTAAGCATGATATACCCTAGGATGTTAATTCTGTTATTCACTTGCTGACATCTTTATGTATTTTTTAAATTTTTCGTTTTTGAAAAATAGCTTCATTGAGATATAATTCACACAGCATATAATTTACCCATTTAAGATGTACAGTTCTGTGGTTTTTATTATATTCAGAGTTGTGTGGCCATCACCACAGTCAATGTTAGAACATTTTCATCTCTCTAAAGAGAAACCCATTCCCTTCACCGGCTCCCCAGCCCCTGGCAACCAGGAATCCACTTTGCCTCCACAGATGAGCCTGTTCTGCTCGTTCCACGTACAGGGAACGGCACCCTGTGTGGCCACTTGTGTTGGCTTCTCTCGTTGAGCCTCAGCGTCAGAGCTGAAGGCGCCAGTGGGTCAGGGGCCCCGTTCGGTGTGTCCGTCCTCTGTTGATGGACGCTTGGGTTGTTTCTGCTGTAACCTTGCACGTACCAGTTTTTGTGTGGATGTGTTTTCATTGCTCCCGGACATACCCCTGGGGGTGGGCTGTTGGGCTATAATGGTTACTCAGGGTTTACCGTTTTGGAAGAGTGATGGCCCCGTTTTACACTCCTACGAGCAGCTCAGTTTCTGCATGTCCTCGCCGGGGGGAGTGCATTCTGGTTGCAGGACCGCCCTGTCCCGGGGCTCCTGTGCCTCCAGGGGCCGGGGGTGAGATTTGTGTCCCCCACGTGTACCGGCTGGCGTCACGGCTCTGTGTCAGGAGGTGGCAGGTGTGGGACTGAAGGTGCTACCCTGTGACCCACCCCTGAATAGGGTCCTCTGAGTGGGGCCTGGGCAGTGTGTTTTCTAGAAACCTCTCCAGGTGATCCTGATTTGCAGCTGAGAGTGGGGACAGTCCCCCGAGATAAAGCCGGGATGGGGGCCAGGCCGTGGGCAGGGGCACTGGAGTCAGGACTCGCGTGTGTGGCCGTCTCGGGGGCAGCCCTGGAAACACCTGGCATACGCGTGCGCCTTCTCGCGAGGCCTCGGCCGCAGCTCTGACTCCTGGGGGACGTGCCTTCGGGGCTCTGGCCCCCAGGACATGGCCGGGGGAGAGCAGCTGCCTTCTCTGCACGCCTGGACCTCAGGCCAGCATGGTCCCCCTTCCTGCTCTGGACCTGAGCTGCTCAGTAAAACAAGCGAAACCGCAGCACCACAGGTGGGCTCGTCCCCCTCCCAAGGGGGCGCTCTGATGCAGCTCCTGCATACATGTCCTTCCATGTCTGTCACCTGCCCTCGCCTCCCTCCCACGCCGCCTCCCTCGGCCCGCCGGGACCACCAGCTCCCAATTTCGTGTGCCCCACGTGAGGTCACAGGTGCATGCCTGAGGCAGGCTCTTGGAAGCCGCCCCCCCCACCCCAGGGCTGATCCTGCACCCAGGACAGATACCCCCAGGACTGCCCCCCCCTCAGGCCTGATCCCCCCCAGGACGGATCCCCACGCCAGGACTGATCCCCCCCAGGACGGATCCCCACCCCAGGACTGATCCCTCCAGGACTGATTGCCCCCAGGGCAGGGGACGCGGCCTCGTAGAATCTAACGGTGCCCCTTCTGTCTGTGTCCAGCCCCTTCTATGGAGAGGACTTCTACTGCGAGATTCCGCGGAGTTTCCGTCACCTGTCCTTTTACATTTTCGATAGAGACGTTTTCCGGAGGGATTCAATCATAGGTAGGTACCAACCGACCAGGTGTTTTCTTCATTTTCTCTGCCTCTTCTGAACGGGGCTTATTCTGGCAGAACTCCCGGGCACCCCTTCTGAGTCGGTGAGCCACACCAGCATCTCGCCTGCCCTTGCTGGCCGTCCCGGAGCTGCCCTGTCACTGTGTTCTGGTGTGACACACCACGAGCTCACGTGGGGACACGGGGACACGTGGCAAAGGCAAACCATCCTTCAAGGCGAGAGTGGTGTCCCCCCAAACGACTCCCGAAGCCTTCTCCAACCATCCCACCACCCCAGGCCTCGCCCATCCCTGAACCCAGCACCCATGTATGGGGGACTGGGATAGTATTGGGGTGCACTCAGAAGTATTAGGGGCTCTCAGAGGCACTGGGATGCTGTCAGAGGTACTGGGGGTCTCAGGTATTGAGGGTCCCAGAGGCACCTGCGTCCTGGAGAGAGTGAGACCCACCTTGACCGTGGAGCAGGCCAGAGCCGCCCGTTTGGTGGGTGCGCCTGTCCCGGGAAACCCCATCAGTTCCCCGTGGCACCAGAATTAGACCCGAGCTGCCCAGTGTGGGCTCAGTGTGGCCGCGGGGCCCCAGCTGATCGTCGCTGGCCTGGCTGCTCCTGGCAGGAGGCATCTGGGTGCTTCGCTCCTGGACAGAGCAGTTGAATCTGGCGGGGCCCTGACACCGCGGTCTCCCGCCCGCTCCTGGGGCGTCTGACCAGCTCCACTCACTGCCCATACGTGACTGGTCAGGGTTGTTTGCGCCCAGGCCAGCAGCCCTCAAAAAAGAGTCTGAAGGCAGCCCCGGAGCTGAGGCCCTTTGAAGAAGCATCTGGCAGTGTTTCCAGCACATGGATCAGAGCTTCTCACACTCGTCAAAATGCAGGTGCTGGTTCTTGGGTCTGGGGCAGGGCCCAGAGTCTGCATTTCCAACAGATAGCATTCTTGGAAACTGCTGTGTTTTACGTAGAAGTCACCAGAGTTTGTTCAGGAAGCACACGGCCTAGATGACACAGCAACTCAGGTCATTCACGCGTGACTTCATTTAAGATGGAGCTGTGATCGGGCCCCTCGGCAGACCTTTACCTCTGAAGGAGAAGGGCTTTCGCGTTTGCGGGGCACCTCTGCGCCGGTCCTGCGGGCCTGCTCCCTTCGCCCTCAGGATGGCGCCCGAACCTTAGCTTGGCATCACGCTCCGGGGATTCCTCCTCCAGCCCAGACATAGGCTCTGGCCCTCCCGGCCCCTGTCCCGGTGCCTCGCAGCCTGACGCCCACCTCAGGCCCTTCCCCGATGCCCGCGTGGCTGCCGCCGGTGGCCCGAGACCCTGGCCAGCTGGAGGCTGCCCCTTGATGTGTGTTATTCTCACCATCGCCTGTGGGAGCATTTCTTTTGTGTCCACTGGCCCGTAATTCCTGCGGCCTGGGGCTCTCGGAGCAGGGCCCGGGGGTGTCTCCGTCTAGCGCCTGCTGGATGCACCAAGGTTTGTTCGAGGAGGAAAGGAGAGGGGCAGAGTGGTGGGTCAGAAGTTTACATGTTACTTGATGGAGCTCACCTGGACGACAGGTGCAACCCACAGGGAGATGCACTGCCAGGGCAGTTGGCTCAGATTATACCAGAATGAAGAGGCATTTGACTAATCCCTGGAGCTACACGGGAGCTTTTTTGAGTGTTAATCCTAAGGAAAAAGAAATTTTAAAGCATCTTTGCCCATTTTAATCAGAGAACCTGATCTAGTTGGTTTTGGGGTTATTTCCCCTTATAAAAATCAAATAAGATGTTTATCAATCATTCTGTTTAAGGCACCCGCTATTTTTAAAGAGAACCAGCAAAACCATGGTTTCGCAATTCCTGGTGGTTTTAAAATTGGGGTGTGTCAGGGTGCAGCCAGATTTAGATGTTTTCCACATTGTTCTCACAGCCCTAAAAGTAAGAGGCTGTCTGGATCTCCAGGGATAATTTGAAGTTATGACTAGCAGTTATGTTGTTACCAGGATGAGAAACCAAGTTCTAGGGTATAAATTTGTGTCTCGGAAACAAGCATATTGTCACCGGCTTCTCACGTCTGCCATGTGATCTCATGGCACCGCACCAGGTTCTCCGGGTGCAGCAGCGCGTGGGCCCCCCCCCCCTCCGCGGGCCGGGCCCAGGGGGGGGGTGCTATGGGTTATTTCAGGGCAATGGGTACTATGACTATGGTGATACATCCCTATTTTTCTCTGTTTTATATTGAGCTACTTTCCTAGGATTATAAGGAGTACAATGTTTAAATTTAATGGGATACACAGGTATAACTGTAATTTGAGCCCCAGTATTTATTAAGTCCATGAAGCTTCATCAATTGGTTTATTTTAGAAGATGTCAAAGTTAATTTAGAACTTATGTTGCAGAGGCACAAAAGCCAATCAGCATTTGCACCCCTTTTATTTATTTTTTGTTATATAAATTCTTTTAGAAAATTTTGAATTTCCAATTGGGTCAAATTATAGACCTTTGTTTTTATTTAGTTATATATATATAATACATAATATATGATTATATATCATATATAATATTGTTATATATATTACATGTTATATATTATTTATATATTTATTTTATTTCTCCCCTTGAATCTAGATATTTTGAACCCCCTCCGCGGGCCGAGTCCAGGGGTGGGGTTTGTCCCAGGGAGGGTGTGGAGATGCAGTGCGGGTGTGGTCGAGGCAGTTCTGGCTCAGGGCCACCGGCTCCACTTCCAGTGCGGGGCGTGGGCTGGTGGGGCCCTGGGGGCCCGGAGCCAGGCCTGCCCCTCTGCACCACTCCGGCTGTGGGCCTGTCATCCCACCATCTCCCCGCTTTGTCCCTCCAGCCCCGCTGGCAGGGGCTTCCTGCAGTTTCTCTATTAAAGGGTTGGGGCAGGGGGTGAAGTGAGACCTTGATCCTTTTGTCTGTAAGCCAGGGTTATCAAGGTATAATTTGCACACTGCGCCCACTGCAGGGAAGTGCCACCGTTTACACACCCACTCGTCATTCGACAGAGGTGGGGTTGTGTCCTGCTTTTAGTGATTGTGAACAAAGCTGCCGTAAACATTCTTGCCTAGGTCTCTGTGTTGGCAAACGTTTTTACTTCTCTTAGAAAATACCTAAGAGTGAGATTGCTGGGGCGTACTGTAGGTTTTAAAGGACAGCAGAATTTGCCATCCCAAATAGGCCACTGTGGCATAACGATTTGTTTGAGCTGAGGGCAGTTGGGAAAAAGCAGACACAAGGAAGTCTCTCTACCCTAAAAGCAGGACATAAATTCGTCCAAATCCGAGATGACCCTAGACCCTTGTCAGCCCAGAGGCTACACCAAGGAACCCACACAACAAGCCTTCCGGACCATTGGTTCCCACATACATTTACCTTCCTTGAAACTCAGAGTCCTTTCCTTGGTCTCGTCAATTCTCTGAAAATTGGTGGTGGTTGTTTTAGGTTAAGATGCTACCCACCTTGCGATACTCATCACCCGCGTTTCCCCCAGGTATATCTGAGATACACATGTTACTAAACTTCTGTTTGTTTTTCTCGTGTTAATCTTTCTTTTGTTACATTTCTCTTTGTCCAGAGAACCTAAAAGAGTAGAAGGAAAAAGATTTTTCCTCCCCTGCAGTGTATGTTTACCTTTATTAGAAACTGACAAACTGCTTTCCTGAGTGCACCATTTTGAATTCTCTCCGGCACTTGTATCATCAACTTTTATTTTTGATTCATTTTTGCCCTTCTGATATGTGTGTCTATCTTATTGTAGCTTTTACTGCTTTTTCATGATGAGGAATGATGTTGGGCACCTTTTCATGTGTTTATTTACCATCTGTATCTCTTCTTTGGTAAATCATTCAAATCTTTTGCCTTTTTAATTGGATTTTCTTATTAAGTTTTTAAAGTTTTTAAAATATATTCTGGATACAAGTCCTTTATCAGATGTATGTTTTGCAAATATTTTCTTCTAGCTTGTGGCTCGTCTTTTCATTTTCTTATGAGTGTCTTTTGAAGAGCAGAAGTTTTTAATTTTGATGAAGTCCAATTCATCAAACATTTTTTTCTTTTTCTTTCTTTCTTTTTTTTTTGGCGGTACGTGGGCCTCTCACTGTTGTGGCCTCTCCCGTTGCAGAGCGCAGGCTCCGGACGCGCAGGCTCAGCGGCCGTGGCTCACAGGCCCAGCTGCTCTGCGGCATGTGGGATCTTCCCGGACCGGGGCACGAACCCGTGTCCCCTGCATCGGCAGGCGGACTCTCAACCACTGCGCCACCAGGGGAGTCCCCCATTTTTTTCTTTTATAGTTTGTATTTTTGATGTCATGTCTAAGAAGTCTTTGCCTAGCACAGGGTTGTGAAGATTTTCTTCTATCTTTTCTTCTAGAAAGCTTTTGGTTTTAGCTCTCATGTTGCGATCATTTCAAGTGAATTTTACATATGACAGGCTTCGTTTTTCTCCTTACAGATGTCCAGTTGAATTACCTTAGCACCTTTTGAAAGTCAACTGACTTTATATGCATGGGTCTATTTATGGCTTCTGTGTTCTGTTCCACTGACCTGTATTCCTTTCCTTACACCGACACCAAACTGTCTTAATTCCCGTATCTTCACAGTAAGCCTTAAGTCAGTCGTGTGCGCTCACCAAGTTTATTCTTTTCCAAACTTGTTTTGCTCTTCTAGGTCCTTTGAATTGTCATTTACATCTTCAGTCACCTTCTCAATTTCCAAAATGACTGAGATTACACTGATCTATAGATTAATTTGGGGAGAATTAGCACCTTAACAAAACTGAGTCTTTGGAGCCTCCAGCGCGGCACGTCTCTCCACGTACTTGGGTCTTTAATTTCTCTCATCAGGGTTTTGTGATGTGTTTTCAGCACACACACACACACTGTGTGTGTGTGTATATACATATAATTTATCCCTATATTTTATGATTTTGATAGAGTAGACAAAGGTTTCTGGGATAGTACACCAAAAGCTCAAGCCAAAAAAGCATCATTTTGTGGATGTGCTGTTGGTATCTTTTCAATGTCAATTTCCATTGTCATTGCTTGTGTGTACAAATGCAATTGATTTTATGTATTGACCTTTATTCTAAACACACCTACTCTGCCAGCTTTTCTTGTAGCTTTTCCTATAGATTCTGTGAATAAAGACTTATTTCTTCCCTTCAAGTCCACAGGCCCTTGTTTCTCTCTCTTGCCTCTGTGCGCTTGCTGGGCACCAGGGTGAACAGGAGTGATGAGAAAGACATCCCTGCCCCCCTGCCAGGCCCGGGCGGCGGGGGGCATCCGGCTGTCCCTCCTTAGTCACCACCCTGCAGGTGTCACCCCTGGCTGCCCACCTTCCCGCACCCTCTGACCTACCGTACCTGGTTCCCCACGTCACATGCTGCCTCTTGAACTACCTGACGTGCTTCTCTGTTCTGAACAGTCCCTGGCAGGTACAGCACCCACCAGAGGAAGTGATACACGGGGCTTTTAGTGGTGGAAAGGCTGCCACACCACCTATGTCCTTGTCAGAGGGTGAGGCCCAGGGGGCATAGTGACCTGATGTCACTCAGATCGATTGGGACAGCTGTGGATTGACACATCAGGCACGTTTAAGTGGGCATTGTGGTCTGCAGGTCAGGTGCTCCCCAGGACAGCCTGTGGGAACACCTACCTCTCACGTGTAAAGAGTGCATGTTCATGTGTTCTTGATGCGGTCGGTCTCTAGAAGGACAGCCTGGCAGCTGGTGGCAGAGGTGACCCTGAGGTGGGACCCTTGTAGCAGGGGAGAGAGCAAGTTATTCTTGGCTGCATTTTACATCCTTTCTAATGTTTCAGACTTTGTTCTATGTTCTGATATTATCCATTTAAAATTAAGTACTTCCAAAAATAAAGAATAATGATGATGTGTAGTCGTAGGGGCCACATGAGCATCCAGTATGTGTCTCCTCCCTATTCCAATCAAAGCTCATAAAAACATTGCAGTTACTTAAAATGTCAAACTTCACATGTAACCCTCCTATCTAGCTGAACTAATCGTGGAGTCTGCAGCTTTCTTTATCCCTTTTTAGTGGAATATTATTGCCCAATTTAGTTCCAAGAAATGTTTGTTTCTTGTGGCTTTATTCCTGCAAGACTCAAAATTATATTCCCATCGGGGAAGGGGGTGGGGTTTTGCAGAGCCAAGCGGAGAGAAAGCCAGGGGCTCTGCCTGGTGACAGGTGGTTGGAGGTGGCGGGACCCACCACAGCACCTCGGCGGGATGCCCCCAAGGCCAGGAGTGGTGGGAGGGGCTGGGCTGGGTGGGACCGGGCTGGGCCGGGCTGGGGTTAGGGGCGGG